ACTTATATATATGAAAATGCTGTATTGATTTTGGCATGGATAGATGACGGGATAGGGGAATTCCCTTCTCTTATCAGTTCCTAATCTGTGGCGATTATGCTAATGCGATGTATGTGTTACTGTGGTAATACTCTTTGTCTTCGATTTAAGAATTATTTTCTAGTTGGGTATATTATTATATAGCTGGGTTAATAACGTTAACCCGTTTTAGCCTCCTAGTATAATTCGGGTACACTACTATACACAAATACACATACACGTATACGCATAATATACATAAACTATAGCATGGCGTGTATATCCGACATATACATAGCAAAGTTGTCATTCAGGTCCACAAGAGCCCAAAGAAAGCTGAATGCTGACAAATTTAGCTATGAACCTATACAGGAACTTTCAAAACAACAGTCTTCCATTTAACCATTGATTTAAATGTTATGCTACGTTTTCCTTTACACTTGCCTTAACTTTGAACTTCATCCCTGATTGGTCAATTTCAACGTTTACATATGAACCGCCTACTCATGTGTTCACTGACGGGATTGTTAATTCACTTAAAGTTTAGTTAGATGTTCCTAAACTCGACTGTAACTGTTATTTGCGTTCGTTCATATGCGCCCCATAAAATTACACCTATAAGAACTTGACGGCAAAACAGCACCAATAGATAATACACCGTATATAACCTATGATGAATATAAATGTAAACTTATGTTATACCGAGTCGACTGTTGGTGCTATATTAAAATTATCTTGTGGTATGGACGCAGGAGTAAAAAGCCAGGCCTACTACTGACGCATTATAAGTTCTTTCACTGGTTACACGTATTTGTAATGTAGTTCTGGTTAGATCAGAATTTATCCTTTTCAGTACTAGCCTATATACGATAACCAATCTCCTCGTTAATCGATAATTCGGGTATATTGAAACATTATCATATAAATCGTAATAAATAATCAACACAAGAGTCAAAACATGCCGTCATTGAATGTCGCCGTGTTATTATTCTACATTGTTTTATCGATTCCAGATAGTCAATCGCTTTATGCTACGTGCATCATGCCAATGTTATTATATATATACAGTATTATTATATGATAAATAATCATTCAAAAAATTTTGAAAAATCTCCAAGATACGACAAAATGCATACAACGTTAAGTCTTACCTTCTCTCAAATCTTTGTGATCCAGGCATCGTGAAAATATGCTAGTATAGATCAATTTTATGCCAGGAGGAACGATTCTACGCTTACCCTTACCCTTTTCAATACTACGCGGTTCATGAGAAATACAGTTTGTGTACGTACTTGCAGGATTCCGCGCTAGCTTCCGATTGGTCATCCTAGTCTGAAGATAGTGAACAATATGATTGGCTGCGACACAAAAGACATTTTTCTTTGGTTAATAAATTATCCCATGCGGCATAAATTTGGTGAAAAAAGTTTTAAGCGAATACCATACCCGCTAAAGGTGGAATAACAATAATACATAAATCGCGACTATAGCCACAGAGTTGAGACACGATTGATTTAGGCAACAACTTCTCAGTATTTGGCATGCTGGGATACTCACGCGGATATAGAATTTCACTTGAGAGTCTGCAGAAGAACAGAACGAACTTTCAACTTTGGACAAACTTGGATGAATATAATTTAAATTTCACTGCATCACAAGATATTCTAATAACTAGGAGTTACTATCGCAAGGAAAATGCTGCCGATATGTACATGTAGGGTGTGCTACAAAAAGAGCGTTTTTCACTGTATGTATGATTTATTGTCTTACACATCGTCGTTCCTCAGTTACCTTCGTACAATTATATCTTACATCTAATCTTATGAAAAGTATATTTTAATATACTTAACAGTGCGACTTTGATAGTTGACACATAATATAAATGATAAAATGTGAATATTATTGAATGATTTTGTCACTCGTACAACTTTTACTTTGGCTATTCAAACAATTGATTTAAAATAGTTGAATTTATACTTACTGGGATGTTATTGCTTATTGGGATGTTGAAATTATGTTTGTTTTAAATACATTTAATTGATATTCCATAAATTCATTTTGTATGATTTCATTGACCTTGACGTTGTTCAAAATCATTTTGTATTGTATTGAAACTGTATGTCTATGACCTATGTTATGTACTATATTAACCCATTGAGTCGCATTGCACCCTGATGCACCCTACTTTGAACAGTATTTTACTCTGTCTAACGCCAGACGATTTTACTCGTCAAGGGGAGAGTGCTGGCGCTTAATGGGTTAACTGATCTATCTGCCCATGTGTCTAGTTAACCCATTGGGTCGCATTGCACCCTGATGCACCCTACTTTGAACAGTATTTTACTCTGTCTAACGCCAGACGATTTTACTTGTCAAGGGGAGAGTGCTGGCGCTTAATGGGTTAACTGATCTATCTGCCCATGTGTCTAGTTAACCCATTGGGTCGCATTGCACCCTGATGCACCCTACTTTAGTATTTTACTCTGTCTAACGCCAGAGTATTTTACTCTGTCTAACGCCAGACGATTTTACTCGTCAAGGGGAGAGCGCTGGCGCTTAATGGGTTAACACACCCAAAATCTGTACTAAAACTGCTAATTCTGTTTTGTGATTGGCACAGTTTAATCAAAGAATCCTCCCGTTGAACCAGAACCTTCACGATATTTCAATTTATTATTAACTGAAGGCTCTGGAATCCAGGATAGCTTGCCATTGAATACAGTGCAATGCTTATATTTCTGAATGAATAAGATCATACTCAGAACAGTCAGAACTGCAAAACTATATTATTAGAAAGAAGTTGAAGTTGTGAGCATTATTGTGGTAACACAGCCATATGTATATATCAATGTATGTCAGTAGAATCATGTTTATAGGCTTTATATATAACTGAGGCCTTATACAAGTCATATCTTATACAAAAGTCAGTTGATATGCTATATTACATGTAATTGCTGATAAGTCCATATATGCAGACAACAATCCACACTGGGTAGCTCTAGGAATCTTGTTAAGCCTGATTTAACAACATCCCGCGTTTGTTTTTAAACTATAAACATTTAGAAATAGAACGTACCGAACACTATTATATACTCACCGCCTTTGGCTTTGCACATATTAAGTGACATAACAAACAAATAAACTAAAAGTTCATTTGCTTCTTGTATCAGCATAAAGGCATTAATCATTACTGTCGATTTGGTCGGGAATAGATCAGTGATTCAGTGGGTATTATAATTGCCGATATATTCTTGAAATCATTTTGTTTCAATGCCTCTATATCGAAGTTTAATACACTAAAGTGACTAAACAAGTATAAACAGCAGATTTAAATATAAATGCCTTCATGTATTATAAAATATATCACCAGACAGGTTGACAGGGCACACGGCACGACTACATCACTATACGAGAACGAAATAAAGCCATCCTTACCTGAATTATTCAAAATATTGTCGATCATTCTTGCGCCAGAGACACAAAATAACACCATGCTTTATTTACCCATTCATCTTCACAAATATTACTCGGAATTTTTATGGAAATTCGCATTATTTTATGATTTTTATATTTCTGTCCGTTTATAACAGTCGCCATGTTGTGAACAAACCCCCCCGGGAACAAAAAAATAATATCAAAACAGCTAGTTTTGGCCCGTCCGTGGATGACAGAATGACATAAATCGAGATTGTAGCGGCTATAAACTCGGCGGTCACGTGGTAAGCACACCACGTGTAGAGATTAGTGTGCTGCCGAGCTACGCTCGGCAGCAATTAATATAGACATACTTAGCCTAGTAAAAGCCTGCCAAAACAGTGAAATTAAAATCTGAGTCTAAAATCATTATCATTCATGGCCTGGTGTACATATTTTTAGGGGGTGGGGTGCTGGATAATTTTTAGTGTAATTGCTGGGTACACATATTTTCTGCAGGGGGGGGGCTGGATAATTTGTAGGGGGTGTGGGATTATTTTTATGAGGGGGGTGGATAATTCCTGGTTAGTTTGGTGGGTAATTTCAAACGGGGGGGGCAGGGGGGACTATTTTATGCTAAATTTTTCTAGTGTTCAACATGCCATATATTCTTCGATCTGCACAAGCTAAAACTCAAGGTTGTTGGAAAGATCTGTTTGAGCCACATCAATACCACACTTTTTCAAATTGGGCCACATTCAATTTCTCAAAATTTTACATCCTTTCTTCTTTTAACCTTTTGCACATAAACATTACCTCATCATCTGGGTCTGGGTAAGGTCGATGACAAGAGCAATAAAGGCCTTTGAAGTTCTGATTGTAATTATTGAGTGTGTTTGCAGCATCTTTATTCTAAATAAAACAAGTAAAACAACAAATGTGATTTGATTCCCAAGGAAACAAGATTAGAATATGCCTTTCATTCACCTTCTGTAGTTTACATTCAAAGTCAGCAAATTTTTCATTTCCACAGTCACACTGGAAATTTCTAAAGTAAAAAGTAAATAAAATTCTCTCAAATCTAAACAGTAATGTTCAACAATTCATATATAGTTAAATTAATTAAATTAAATTAAATTATGATGATAAATATTTCATATTTCCATAGTTTTTTAGCAGTTTGAACTTTGATTGACAGTTTGAACTTTGATTGACAGTTTGAACTCTGATTGACAGTTTGAACTTTGATTGACAGTTTGAACTTTGATTGGCAGTTTGAACTTTGATTGACAGTTTGAACTTTGATTGGCAGTTTGAACTTTGATTGACAGTTTGAACTTTGATTGACAGTTTGAACTTTGATTGACAGTTTGAACTTTGATTGACAGTTTGAACTTTGATTGACAGATTGAACTTTGATTGACAGTTTGAACTTTGATTGACAGTTTGAACTGTGAGGGGCACTTTTATAAGGTATTTGCGAGTGATTAATAATATATATTTATAATTTATAAACTATACACCAGGTTGAAAAATATTGTGCGGAGAATTTGACTGTTTACCACAGACAAGTGGACAACTAGAGGCAAGAGATAATATGTTGTAATTGGACCAACAAGAATAAACATAATATTTCTCTCGGTTTCAGAAAATAGATACTAAGGATAATACCTTTTGGTATAAAGTTCAACCAGATCGTGGCCATCGTGACATGATAAGCTACAGGCTAAGCAGACACCTGCCAAGTCAGAATCAGGTGCAGCAGGTGTGCAGGTTAGGCAAGCATATAGTGCTTGACGTTTCACATAACCCTATAGATTGTTAAAATTATATAAAAAATGATCATCTGAAAAGAATCATAAGAATTGACAAATATAAATACATCCTTATTGTGAATCTTGATTTATGTTTATTGGAGGGCTACTTTTATCATACCCCATTAAATGTTATTTTCTGCCGGCTGAGGAACGAAAGAGGCAGAACATTTTTTCTTGTGCACTGCCGGGGGGCTGGGTGAAGGTCGTCAGTATTTTTTTGCTTGCCTTGTGCTAGCCTGACCTGCAGACTACTGGCAAGAGAGCATGTGTTGATATTTTGTTTGTGATCCATGTTTTGTACTCATGTTGCCACGCATAACGTTGAATCGACGTTATGGGTGGGTTTTTACGTCAATTCCTTGACGTTATCTCGTGGCAACTTGACTACTTACATCCAAACAGACCGAAGTTTAAATATTTAATGTTTGCTGTGCAACTTTTGTCAGTATTATATTATTTTCAACTAATAGAGTTCAAAACAAAGGTCGAAGTATTGAAGCAACATTTTAGTCAAATACCCGTCAATTCGTGTTCGCGAATCACAACATTTTTCTGCGATAAAACTTCTCATATTTTATAAAGACTTATATTTATATTTGAATTGAAACCTCAGCATTTTAATGCATTGGGTCATTCCAGAAAAGATCCATACTCCCCCCACAGAGGAAATTTCTGCCGTCTGGAGGGGGAGGGGAGAAAAAATTGTTTCTGATAATAGTAAATGTATTAGGACATCCGGAGAGGGGGGTTAACTTTCTATTTCCTCTGTGGGGGTGGTATGGATGTTTTCTGGAATGACCCATTTCTGAGATAAATTGATTGATTATATACCATATTTTATAAGAATAAGAGACACTTTTGCCATTTTGATTTTGAGCTCTTTTAGCGGTCAAAATATGACAGGGTAACAATCAACGTTATCTCAGGTTGGTAGGTGGGTACTGGTGATAACGTTGATTCGACGTTTTGCGTGGGCGTGGCAACATGAATATAGACGTGGCCCTTAAGTATGAGGTTTTTTGTTCATTAAAGGTTGGGCCTGCATGTGCAGCATCCCTCAGAACTGTGAGAGAATATGCGTATATGGACAATTATTCTAATTATATACACAGTTAGTAAGGCCAAATATTAAATTCATTCAGCAGAAATGACTTTAAATTTTTGCTGAATGACTATAAAAATATGATTAATTTATTATTAATATTGTCATTTTCAAGAGAATGAAACAAAATCCTTTATAAAATAAGCTTTTACAACAACACTAACAATACATTAACATAAATAAAACAACAACACAGAAATGATACCTTTTCATAAGTGCAATGTTGGTCGTCACTGTCGCCAAAAACGGCGTTCGCCTCGGCCTCTAACTCCTTGTCTTCTGCTAAGACATCAACCATAGATACTTCATCGTTTTCAAACTGGTCAGAGGACATTATTTGCCAAGATCGTGCCAACTTTTAACACGGAAACGAAGCGAAATTTTCTAAATGTTTTGTTTTTGAAAGTAAAATTCAAAATGGCGCCAGCGCGCCAAAAAATTTTATTACTTTTCATCAGTGGTTTTCATTCCCCTGCTCGGGGTCATGAAGATCTTTGGTGCTGTTTGGTAGAATAACACCATGTACTGTAATAACTGGTAATAACCAATCAGATCAGGCAGAGCAGATCAGGCAACCAAATGCAAAATTCTTTGCTGAAATGTTAACAAATCTGCATGGGCATGCGCTATTTTGTTTGCGACGCAGTCGCGTGGGGAGCGCGCGGGACTGCACCCGTGGAAAAAATAGAAAATTATGCTGATCCGTCACGTCGGGGACGGTGTCATCAACAAAATCGGCATCGCTTCTCGGATGAGATAAAATTCTAACTAAAAAGAGAGGACTATGCCATTCTGTATCTATTATCGGGGTCGAATATGACAATTGTGCATCTCATTCGATTGAATAATAGTCAGTAAAGGTTAAATCCTTCAACTATTATTCAATCTTGCCAACAAAATGCCAACAAAATCTTGATATTTACCCACATCCAAACATGGCAGTACCCTAGTATATATACATGAACTTGTGGTTAGATGATTAGATCTCTACAACTGGACCTTGTATCTCAGTTGGTTGCACCAGAATCGCAGGACCGCAGGTTCGATTCCCGCCAGGGACCTGTAGTTAGGTTTAACAAATGGTTAGGTCTAATAAATGTATATAAATTTACACTCGTAATTCCATCTACAAAATTCTTCAACTAATATTTTACCGTTTACTTCAGATGAAAAACAATGAAACGATTTACATTTATTTTCTCTTTAATAATATAATTATAAAGATTTTACAGAAGTATTGATTTTCCTACAATGTTACAACACCTTTATAGGCTTATACATTACTACCAGAAACTGTGCCTTTTATACTTCCATGACATAAAATGTTACTCTTTCCTCTATTGTTACAATCCTTGATTCCATTAGCTACACTTCCATTTGGTTTCCTCTCATCTAAAGTGCGATAACTAGACAAAAGTTTTGCTAATGCTGAAACGATTGAGCTGGGCGCGAATGCTTTCATTTCCTCTTCGTATCTTCTCAAGGCTTTCAAGCAAGCCTTTCTTTCGCTTTTTAGCAAAGCAATCTGCTTTTCCAACAGCCGTATTTGTGCTTCTTTGAAAGAAAACTCATTCTCGACTCGTTCCTTTTCTTTGAGGCACTTCAAACGCTCTAAATCCGCAACGGATGCATTCGCAATTTTCTTTTCATCAAAGCGAGAATCTTTTCCTTGTAATGTGTCCATATATTCCCGACTTGCTTTGCCTAAACGTTCTAAGCCTTGCTCCAAGTCAATAGATTCTTGTATGCCAACGACAAGCTGTTCTTTGCATTGCACTAAATCAATAACAACTGCCAATTGCTTTTCGCTAAGCAGTGCTGATTTTGATCCAAAGTTCTCCCGACTTGAGTCATTTTCGCTCTTCCGTTTCATAAAACCCAAGATGCCATTTCCTCTCGCTCTTTTGTACGTTTTCTGCTCAGGCGACTCCAAGACCGGGCGTTGCTCGTTACCCGCAAAAAGCGCCTCCTCGATTTGGATTTGAACTTCTGCCGTTTCGGTACGTTTCCTTTCCAGGGTGGCTTTTAGTAAATTTATGTTGTATTCGCTATAAGCAAGCTTTTCCTTCAAAAACTTGTTCGTCTGCTCGAGGGATTTCAAAGATGTGTATTCCATAGGTTCATTGGAAGGAGCACTACAAAGTAACGATAAACCAGAATAAGAGAAAGACTATATTAACTGGAATATCTGCATAGAAACATGTACCAGTACATCCTTAATGAACTTTTATTTTCTTATGTGTACGGCGTAATATTTCATCCCTAGTCTGCACCCCTGAAAATTTAATGAACTATAAAAAAATTCATGCTTTTACCTTAGATCCGTGTTCATGAAATTTCCTGCGAAACGTTTGAGTCGTTGAAACATCGCGTGGATTATATTTACTCCCAGAAGCTGAATGGCCACGCCTTCTTTCTGTTGTTCGAGCAACACGCTATACTTTTCGAGCTCACGGTTAATACATTTCATCTCACGAACACCGACAACACGTTCTTCTAGCTCGTGCACGATGTGCGAATACCCGCGAACCAACTCCTTGTAATTTTCCAACGATTTTTCGTGCTTACTTCGTTCTTGTTTCAACAAATTATTTTCGCTTCTCACTTGGTGTAATTCTTTACCCAAATCTTTAGCCATCCTATTCTCCATTTGGCATTTCCCGAGCGATTCTATGCGTCGAGCTAACGAAGGAAAATGTTCCAAAAATTGTTTTTGTGTAGCCTCGTTTTTATAGCATCCACAGCGACAATACAATGATTTGGTAAGTAGTTCTACATTCAAATAACCTTGGGCGATAAATTCTGTGGTCCGTTTCAAGCAGAACCCATCTTTCGTTATTCTAGTGAGAATGTCCTTCAGCTTACAAGATTGTTCGTTAGTTTCACCGTTTGGCTTAGCATGAACAGCGGTATCAAATTCTCTAACTTCTTCTGAACTTTCGTTTTCTTTCGTTGCTTTAATCTGTTTCGGATCTTGACATTCTGTAACTTCTGTCAAATTAGTTGAGCTGTTTTCAAGACTCTGTTGTTCGATTTTTTGAACAACCTCGTTCGTTTCATTTAACAACAATGCCTTATAGTCGATGCCAAGATTTTTCAGTCCCATTTCAATGTCCTGTTTTTCGCGCAGAACTACCTCTTTTTCCCGTTTTGCAGAACGGGCGTTCGCTTTGAGCTCTTCCAAACGGGCTTTGCAAGTTTGTGACATGTTCTTAGCTCTGGCAGCTTCCGCTTTCAAAGTCTCTTTATCTCGCTCGAGCTTTGCCTTTTCCTTGACGAGTGTTTTGTTTTGTTCCTTTGCTTCAAGGACTTGTTCTTTTAAAAGCTTTTTTTCACTAGTAACTTTCGTGAGTGTTTTATCTTGGCTTTCAACTTCATCGCGAAGTTGCTTAACGGTGATTTCTAAAACGCCAGACTTGTCAGAAAGAGCCAGGATATCTCGTTTTAGTTGTTTTAACAGATGTAGCACGTTATTAGTCTTGCGGTTTACGGGTTTTGTTTTAGCTGAACTTCGCAAGGCCGTGTACGCTGTTGCATTAATCTCTTGTGCTTCGGTTAGAACTTCTGCCAAGAACATTCCGTGAATTTTAGCTAATTCGTTGTATTCGTTCTCGTGCTTTCTTTTGGCGAATTCAAACTCATCCTCTTTAGTCAAAAGCTGGCTTTTGAGATTATCTAAGTCGATATACGATGTCTTCGCTTCCCTCTTTTTCTTCTGTGAGAACTCGTCGCAAATCATCTTTAAAGATGTTGTTTGTTCTTTCAAAGAGCCAATTTCTTCTTCTTTTGTCTTTATTTCATCCAATAGGCGTGTTTTCTCACATTGAAGGGCCTCGTTGTTGGTTTTGAGCTGTTTTAGCGACTCTTCCATTACTTCTGTTTTCTCCAGTTGCGCATTTAATTCAAGTTCGAAAGCTGCAACTTCTTTCGCTAATTTCTAAAGAAAGACAATGGAAAGCATGTATATTTAATGATCTTATCCACCGGATGGTAAATTTTGAAGCTTAAACTGACCGTTGATTGGTATAAGTCAGATTAAAGTTTAGTATTTATAGTTTCTTCTTATTTTCTACTTACTTAAAATGGAAGGATAACGCGGTTACTTTCCGACCAACGTTCATGTTACTTTTTTCGTTACGTTTTCACGTTAAAATATAGTACTTGCTATTTTGTTTATACTACCAACTTTCGTTATGTTAATGCATGTGGCCGATACACTGAGTACAATAACTCCCCTTCTATTTGCCGGCCTGTTTATCCTATTATGTAGTTCACTGTCAATGTAATTATTAAAACTTGCAGATGTAACTTTAAATAATTGTAAGTAACTTTTTGAAAGTATTAACTTTTTTAAGTAATTACAACAATCGTGAAGTAACTTTTATTGGTAACTAGTTCCTTTTTCGACCATGTAACTTGTAGTCATAACTAGCTCCAAAAAAAAAATTTCTGGACAAACAACAGTTAAATTAAGGATCAAAAAAATTTTCCGGACAAATTCCTGTTAAAACATGGGTAAAATCCTTTTTTCTATCAAAATCTGTAAAATTTAGGACCATTATTTATATAAAAAAACGTTCCATTTTTTTTAATTTTGCAAATTTGGGACCCCCTTAAACTGGGGGCCAGGGGGAAATTGCCCCCTTTGCCCCCCTCCGGAAAGGCCCTGACTGCGGCACCCAGTCAGGCAAAAACTATTTCATTATTCCTTGCTTCTTACCTCGTGCTCAATAAACAGATTCTCTTTGATCACTCTTTGCTCGAAATCCAAAACAAAGTCCTCCGTAATGAGATCTTGATATGTTTCATCCTGCGATATTGCCGAGTCGCTTCCTTCGATGAATTTGACGCTTAACTCTTCCCCGGTGCCCTGAGCGACCTCCACGCTCTCGGCACTGGACGAACATGTTGTGCTGGACGGCGACTTTGATACGCTGGTCGTCGATTTAACTTCGGGATCTGTCGTCGAATGCTCGTTGGTATCTTCTTCTTCAATAACTATAGTACAGTTTGAACGAAAGGACAAAGTATGAGGGTGCTGTTGAGATTAATAGAACTTCCAATCTAACATTTTGGATAGCTCACATGCCTAGTTACCATGGTAACCAAGCAATTAAATTCATTCAGCAGAAATTTTCAGCAAATTTCATTGTTAACATCCATATACAGACGAGCAAAATTTGATGGACTTTAAAAGATTGTATGCTAGTTTTTAAACAAGTGTAATTATTATGGAAAAAATAGCAAAGTTGAAAAACAAGAAATGAAATGAAATGAAAACTTGTCTTAAAATCTTGCTCGGGTGTATTACACCTGTTTATGCATATATACCTTTGCGTTTCCGAGTTCTGCGTCTCCTTCGTCTTTTTGTTTTGGCCTCGGAGATTATTGGATAATCGGTAGAATCATTTGAATTCGATTCGGAATATTCCACTTTAGGCTCGGAAGAGACGCTACGCTCAGAAACCTTTTCAGCCGGAACCCAATCTGGATCCCCTTCTGCATTCGTGTCACTCTCGTTTATTTCAGCCATATTAATTGATAACAACGCTTTGAGAAGTTTCTCTGCTTTCAAGCATTCCTCGTCTTGTCCTTGAATATCTAATAAAGATATAGCCGCAGTTAAAGCCTGGGATAATTAGAACTGTGGTTTGTTTTTTTGGACAGTTTAATTAAAAGTTACTGTTCTAGAACTAGCGAAACATTTCTTAAAACCTCCGCGCCAAAAATTCCCTGAAACTTAGGAGTAAAAACAGCATAAAACCCATGAAAAAGCGGAAATGTTTTATTATCCAAAATTACAGTGCAGTAAATTAATTTGTGTTCAGTTTTAAACCCAGGTGCAAGAGATTTGGAAGTCACGCGCCCTTGGTTAGCTGTTCTTAATACTTTCCCGACACTATCATGTATTCTATTTAAGATAAACATAGTTGGAACACTCATCAAAGCTTTATTTTGTTAATCCAGAACTTTAAATCTCCCCCCTAACAATGCGTGACTGCCAACTCTCATCATCCTTCATCCTCGTTTGACTGTGGCTTTATATACCGGTAGTGAAATATATTTCGCTCACCTTTCCCGGGCGTTTCTGTGGCTGGGTCATTTTTGGAAACTGATTCCAATTGTTTGCCGTCGCGACGTTTTGTCATCGAATTCGATTCATTTTCAGTCGGAAAGTTTTTTCGATTGCTTTGTGGTATTTCCAAATTACTAGAAATCTTCAACACCAGAGGAGGACTGTTTGCCATCCCGTAGACTTTGTGGTTATTACTTTTACTATGAAAGTTAAGGCGCTCTTTCAAATCACTCTCTTTAATAGCTTGTTGTGAAAAGCAACTACTGCTGCATCAAAAACGAATTTGTTACTTCAAAAACGCTTTTTATTTGCGTAGTTACCAAGACAACACCGTTATTAGTTGATGTCGCAATTACTTAATTGGTTGGATGGCAACGTCATGCGATGGCGTAAGAAAACTGTTGCTAGCCAACAGCACAAACTAGAATGAATCGGCAGCATGTTAAATACTATATTCTATTATTAAAGATGAGACCATGCCAACAACAACTAAAAAACTAAGAAAATGTTTGAATTTCTTGCGGCGCTAAACCGCTCATCCCATTTTAAAATTTTATGCGCATTTTGGACGCGATTTCAATTTTGGGGCCTGAGTCGAGGTAGCGTAAGATCCAAGATGGCGGATCTGTCAACAATGAAAAATTCTAAATTTCATAAAATTTTCGCAAAAAATCGCCGCATATCAATCTAAACCAAGAATGAAAAGAACACGCAGTCAAAGAAACCAACATTCGTCACCCCCTCACGTTGCAAGGAACACCACAACGCCTTTGATACGAAATCAAACGTTGTTTCGAAATCATAGCGAAAGTGTCGACAATGCAATAATACGTAATAATAATTTGCAATTATCATTTGGTGAGGATCAAATTAACTCAGAAAGTCAGTTGTCTTTTGAGGCTTCCGGAGGCCAATTCAGGCCGCATTCAGTGGGCCTGAATCAACATCGATCTGCTTGGCCTGCAGCAATGAACGGGTTTGCATTTGGTGGTCAGCAATTCATCTCCTGTCCAAGATTTTTTCAGCAAAGTTTCCGCAGCGCGTTTAATTATTATACGAGATCCAATTCGCAGAGAGTTCCAAGAACGACACGGCAATTCCAGGAAACCCAGCGACATTGGAATGCCGGATTCACGCAACAGCGGAATCGTATGCACACGAGTACAATATCGACCTCAGAGATAAATAATACCGGTCCCAAAGCAAATGGTTACTCGAATAAAAGAAAAGATTTCATGCGTCGCAAATGGCAAGCGTTGCCGGAGGCTGAACAATGTCGTCCGAATGAGTTTAGTTTCTCGTTGGTAACGTATAATATGCTCTCTGATTCATTGTTGTATGAAAATATGTACCTATACCAGGATTGCAATAACGATTATTTGAGTTGGGGATACCGAAAGGAGAAATTATTAGCTGAGTTGCTCGGTTATGAGGCTGAAGTAAGTTTGTGTTTCGCAGGTTGTATTGATACTTTGAAAGTAGGCATAGCTCTATGAAACCTGCTGGAAAAATGATTAACGTTAGGGTCCCACGTCAAAAGACTGTAAGGGCATTTGTCCTACTAATACCGAGGGATTTCTCCTGGTATCCCATTGGCTTTAATTATTAAACATGCTTCCCATCTAGATTCTGTTGTGGCCAATTTAAAATCAAGTTTTGTGTTGTAGCAGTATTTATAGCATAGAGTATTAATCTTGACAACAGCTGTAATATATTACTTTTTCGAGTTTTCTCGTATTAAACGTAAGCTATCTGCTATCCTGTTGACTATCGCTGTTGCAGGAGAAAATCAGAGTACAAAGAGAAACACTTCTATGCTTCTAATGCATGAAGTGAGAATACACACTTGCTATTGACTGATTGATCAATTCTATTATGTAGGTTATGCATCCAATATCAGCCCAATTCTTTGTATATTAAAATGTCTTCTAAAATATAGGAACTCCATTTTCACTTTCATACCTTTGAAAACTTGTCTAATACAGCTTCTAATTTTTTTCATAAAATTCAAGCTTACAAGGGTTAGGAAATGCCTGAGCATACGACGTTGTACCTCTTGACTGTAACGAAGTTGACGTACCTGTATATGAAATAAAAAATGTTTCGCGAGCGTTTCTCGAGTTTCCAAAGCACGCAAACTAGCGGACCTTTACTGTAATATCATTTACTTTATCAACATCCTTCTATTAAATTTACATTACAAACAAATGTTTTTAAAATTGGTAGATTTTGTGTTTACAAGAAGTTGATGCCAATCATTACGAAAATTGGTTCCTGCCTAAACTGCACGAAGCAGGTATTTCTCAACTACGAAGCAGATAGTAAAAATATTGTTAGATAGCATAAAGTGTAGAAGTTTGAGTGTTCATCTGCCTGTTTGGTTCGTACGTTCTGGTAACTGAAGAGACAGAAAATAGTATTTCTTAATTAAGCAAGCGACGTTTTTGATTCACGAACGCCGACCGGAAGTAAATTAGCCTTTCTCACGCCGCCATTTTTGGGGTACTGTAATTTTTCGTAAACGATTATAACAATGTGAAAAGCAATATTTCAGAACAAGCTAACTATTTACAGAGTACATTTACCATCATACACCCATAAAATTATAAAATGTCGCCGTTATGTGGTGTTATGCTCCGGCCCCATCACAATCTGCGAGTGTCTGGATGCGACGGTGCCCTCGTGTTGTACCACATGCGCTTGGTGAGAGAACGCTCATGTGTATAAATACGAATGTATCATGTACCTAGACGTGTACCAAGCTGCACTAACGAGGCGTATGCCATGGCAAAAGAGTACCCCAAAAATGGCGGCGTGAGAAAGGCTAATTGATTAAAATCACGAACGTGAAACTGCATGGATTGCCATTCCTGATTTCAAGCCAAAAACTGCTAACGTCATTTATGACGGGGCGATTGACTTCCGGCCCAGACATTAACCTCGTTACCAGGCTTGACCTGAAAGAGATTAAACATGAAGCCTCTTTCAGTTTTGGATGGCATGAAAGTAGTTAATTATAAAAGCAGTCGTGTTTTCCCAGTCCACTTTACCCATCTGGTGATAAACTGTATTTTTGTTCGAAGCGTGGACGTGTCTTCGTAGTTCGGTTCAGCTAGGGCAGCTCAGCAGTAACTATTGAAAATAACTACTTGTATCGCCCTGCACTTCAGCAGCTTGTTGACATTATAACCCCCCTTTTATTTTGATAGGATATATGGGATTGTTCGTCCAAAGAACTGGGGGAAAGCCCGATGGATGTGCGATATTTTATCGACATGCGAAGTTCACTTTGGTCAACCATAAACTAGTGAGGTACTACACACCCAAGGTGCAGATCTTAGACAAAGACAACGTCGGAATCGTTTTACTTCTCAAAGCTAACACACCTGATCAAGCGGAGAGCCCATTCATCTGTGTGGCGAACACTCATTTGCTGTTCAACAAAAAACGAGGCGATATCAAACTCGCTCAACTTGCATATCTTTTCGCGGAGATCAACGAACTTGCAGTGCTATCGCAAGATGACCATGGCAAGACACATTGCCCTGTTATACTGTGTGGAGATCTAAACAGCCTGCCCTATAGTCCGCTGTATCATTTCTTGATTAATGGACAGTTAGACTACAGCGCCAGAAGCCCGGCTGTCATATCAGGACAGTTAGCGCCTTCTGAGGCCAGAAGAGGGCCAAGCTCAAGGCAGATACGCACGCCGTTACTTCCGTCGGAGTTTGGTGTCACTGCCGACTGTCAGTGGCGGAAAGAGCAGGAAACCAAGTCTGAAGGCAGTTGTGCACACATCCAGGACAGAGATATACAAGATTCAGAGAGAGACACAGAACGACAAAGAAAGCCAGAAGAACGCAGTAACCCTTCAGATCGATGTAAATCAATGAGCTCGATACAAGCTGATCCATATAGGAACGAGACTCTTAAACACGTGGACTCAAACATCTCTGATTTCCGGCTAACCACCAATACAAACCGATATGTTGAAACAAACGAGATGAAAGGCTTAAAGATACATAGGGATTCGAAAGAGCAACCCAATCCTGGTCAAGATGAATGGAATAAAGGGCTAGGTGAACGAGAGGTCAGAATCCAACACACCTCCCAAAAGGATGGTTTTAACAGGGACCGCAAGTCAGACAGAAATACGGAGCCCAATAGACACTCTGAATGTAGTCGAGTTACTGGTTCTAATAGATACACTGAGCAACCCCAAAGACGGAGAGACCACATGGGAAGCTGTTCACAAGGTAGTAGCACTATTGACTTGACGCGGGAATCGCCTAGCCCTAGCAACAGAGGTAGTAGTACTGTTGACTTGACGCGAGAATCGCCTAGCCCTAGCAACAGAGGTAGTAGTACTGTTGACTTGACGCGGGAATCACCTAGCCCTCGCAACAGAGTGGCTGAGCCAAGCAGAGACAGCAAATCAAATAGACTTGGGGAGAGTAAATTTTTCAAAGACGCCAAGTCGAACCCAGATTGGACAGTTGGCAAATCGGAAAGGAACTCAGAATTTATTGATTTGACAAGAGACACGGAATCACCCAGGCCTCGCAACAGCAGAGCGCCCGAGGAGAACGGTACTGGCATTTCTAATAGAGATCCAGATCTCAATAGATCCAGCGAGTCAAGCGGACATACCAGTAGAGCGGGGCAGCAGCACTCTCATACATCATTACCTGCAGCTTCCTCCGAAATGCAGACCGAAGAAACGAACTACAACAAAAATGGGACCATCTCCATCCCCTGGCAATTCAAAAGCGTCTACACTCACCGGTTTCGGGACGGAACTCCTGAAGTGACAACATGTCATTCAAAAGCATGCTGTAATGTGGATTACATATTTTACACAGCTGGCATTAGAGACAGGCGTGATACAAAACACAGGGAGTACGTACAAACGGGACAACTAACGTTGCTTGGAAGATTGGAGTTAATGGGGAAAACAGATTTTAACACCATGAGGTTGCTGCCGAACCATATATTTCCGTCAGATCACCTGTCGCTTCAAGCGCGGTTTAAGTTGACATGAGTACTTTTCAGTTCAAACATGTGTATAATGGGAAAATATATATCTATTTTTGGACGTTGCTTTGAAGATTGGAGTTAATGGGGAAAACAGATTTTAACACCATGAGGTTGCTGCCGAACCATATATTTCCGTCAGATCACCTGTCGCTTCAAGCGCGGTTCAAGTTGACAGAGTACTTTTCAGTTCAAACATGTGTATAATGGGAAAATATATATCTATTTTTGTACTCCGTTTTCATTGATTTTTTAATGTCACATGCAGGAGTGATGCACAAAGGGACGAGAGTAATAGGCTCGGGATGAGGATTTTATTGTTTAAAAAACATGGAAAAAGCCAAAGTCGGTCGTGATTATGACATCAACCTGCTTAATCCTGCACACCGCATTATGTGTTATAAGTGTATTGAAAATGTTAGTCTTTCTGTGCATATGAACGAGTCGATGAGTTATGAATGTTCTGAGTATTTGTGCCCTCAAGTGAACATTCATAACACATCCACTCCTTCACATCTATCAGAAGAAAATCGCAGTGAAAATTACAAGTTTAAACATTTGCAGCTGTCTGATAACCCAGCCCGCGGGCGCCTGATTTGGAGGCTACGCAACCCTGCACTATCACAGTATATAGCATAGAAATCATATACGGCTTTAAAATGGTTACAATTCCATGACACTAATTATGCTAATATATTGGTCACTGCGTATCATGGACACTGTTTTAATAATTACACATTAACATATTATATTACATCATTATATTCTATCCTGTTGCCTATTCTAGGAATTAATTTGCCAAATTAGTTGCATCCAAGGTACTATTATGATACCTGTAAGAGACCTTGGATTCAGGTTGAAGAGGTATAAAAAATACTGACATTTTTCATACTTGTTTACAACCAACCTGCAATAATTACATGACTTACTATAAGTTAGCAATTACACATATATTTACAATTTCTGCAATCCGTGTTACTCTAATGCAAATCGAATTATGTCATACTTAAAAACTTAAAATTCCTTGGATCGGAATTTCGGCAGCGATTGCGAGGAAGCTTTCCGTTATCGCAGCGGCAATGTAACGATATTACCACCACTGCATGCATGCATTGCAGTCCTCAGAAAAATAAAATAATAGCTTAATAAAATAATAACGTTGAAACGAAAAGCCATGGTCTTGCCCCACACAACTTATTGGAGGCGAGTGATAGTAATTTACAGAGCTTTTCAGACCAGGTGGGGAATACAAATTTCCGGTAGCATTGAATCAAGTATATCAGTTTGTTACAGAAGGTTGTCTTTTAAACAATGTTGTGATAGAAAAGTTATTCCGCCGTCCACGATGTAGTTCGTAACCTAGCAACAAAATAGAATACTTTAGATGGATTTGTTGTAACCTGCGAACAGGCGTTTCTTCAGGTGTGACGGTAGAAACTGGGAACAATCATCATCCTTTTTCCTATTGGCATTTTGCAGAATGCCAAAGGTTAATAGAAGATGAGTGAGTGGATTGCATGGAGAAGAAAGGAAGTTTCAAAACAATGAAAAGACCGTAACGCATACCTTTTGTGACTGTAACAACACCAATTTAGCCAAAATTTGCCTTATGTTTTGAGGCTCAAGTATTACTGTAATGCAATAAACCAACACCTACCGTCTCGATCATAGGTTGATAAGCTAAGCCTTTCCATTCGATTTCTTATCTTGTAGCGATCTATAGTGTCGAAGTATGAAACGTTTGATAAACATCGTTGCTAAAGACGGGTGTACATGTTAGGACTTTAGATGGCCGATTGATGGTTTAGATGCATGTCGAGAAACAGCCAGTGGTATGATCTGTGGTCGCATTATTCTCGTTCCTCTGTATTGACTTCATTAAATCTCATGTACACACAAGTAAACACGCACAAGTTGTTACAAACCGGCAGCAAAAAAACGTGAAGCAATGCTTTTCCAACAACTTGTTATCATCCTTCAATTCAACAGTTTGTTAACAAGTTGTGAGTGACAAGCTTGTAGCAACTTGATAAAATAACAACATTGTTACAACTTGTTGACAAGCTTGCTACAAGCCTGTTGCGAACACATCTTGTTGACAAGTTGTCAGATTTCTAAGTATGTACCTAAACCATTAATCGGCCGTCCAAACAACAATTGTTCGAATATTCTGTGAATAGTAAAGGACATGTTACACAAGGCAACGTCCGCTGCAACCTGCATGTATTGTCAGTTTTGTCACTTACTTTTCTCTGGCGATATTGATCCTGGTTCAACACTACCGCTGTAAAGCAATTCAATTTTTGGTTCATATAGTCACTTTTGCAAACAATGTATGTTAGAAATAAGGCCATGGTTTTCATTTGGTGCTGGCTGTCGTGACCTTAACAGGTTGCCAATGTGGGATGTGGCTCTTACTGGGCCTTCACTTAGAGGTTAGAAATGATAGAGCTACCCAGTGTATTTAATAAAGTATGTTGGGTATAAGATAGAAATGTCATATAAACTTACCATGCTTGTGGCACAGGTGATAGAGTCATGGGTCCTAAAGCACACGACTGAACCATGGCATCCATCATTACGGCCTAAAGTCGAAGTATACATTATAATATTTTTATGTATTTTCAGCCTAGCTGGTAAAGAAGAGGCAGGGGACCATATCCGCTCCTGCAAGGGACACGCCGAAAGTAAAGGAAAGAGCTGAGCATAGTAAACTGTCTTACAAGATGAATTTTCTGTGTTGGTGTCATGTACTTAGGTGAATATATGATGTTTGTGATGTTACTCTGAGTGCAAGCTTGAAAAATATGCCTGACCACGGTGGGAATCGAACCTACGACCTTGGATTCCCACCGTGGTCAGGCATATTTTTCAAGCTTACCCGGCGTGGATATACACTCAGAGTAACACCACAAACATCATATCTTACAAGATATTTCGAAAATTATTTGCCCCTACCCCCACCCCATCGACACAAATTTTGGGAAATGTATAACGATGGTCGTTGTATGAGCATGTGTAAGTAGTATTCTACAATAAGCTATCGTGGTTGAACTGTATCTGAACAACTTGAAATAGATTTAAACATGCCAATGCTTAGCTTGGAGCGATGGTCTTTTGAATTCACCAAGTCTAAGGTCCAAGGCTAACATTCTAAGGAAAGCCTTCGCTCAAAACATATCGGTGTTTTTAACATTAGGCAAACTGCCTAGTTGATCGTACATTGTAAAATCGTTGTAATCCACACTGATTTACCTGTTTTGAAAATATCTGCAACTGTGTAATGGCGGTACTGTCACCTTCTTCAGAATCAAACTCCAACCAGAAAGTGTCGAAACATTCTGGATCAATTTCAGAGTCTGGTGTATGGCTGTAGTCCCATGAGAATTCTTCATACGAGAGACCCAGCAATATGACCTTCAAAGCGAGAATATACTTTTAGCCATACTCAGTCTGGAAACTCTGAAAGGATTAGTGTCGCACCATGGCATCGCAAGCTTTTGTTATTGTTTAATCTTACCAAAAATCAACAAATAACAATAAAAATACCTTTAAAGGCTCGTTTACACTTGCAATTTTTGCAGCAGTTTTAGGTGCGATTCTTTTCTTCTGATGGATGAAAACGAGTGGATAAGTTAGAAATGCTCTGATGAGGGTACATATACTCAGAACATTCGTAACTAATCCACTCGTTCACATACATCAGAAGGAGAAAATCGCACTAGAAACCGCAGCAAAAATTGCAAATGTAGACAGGCCTCAAGGCGTCTATAATGAATCACGATTGTGCATAAATTCTTTGACTGACTATGATAAAGCCAAGACGGCGATAAGTAATGCCCTCATTAAACGAGGATGGGAGTTCATAGGAGTAGGCAAGCGAGGGTTTGTACGAGTCTGAGAGTCTCGTCACCCCTTATGATGAGAATTGCCAGATTTATTTGAGAAACTGTGTTGCCCTATCTGCCTAGTACGTAGGCGTCGTGCTGTCCTACGCCGCTGCGTGTGGGGGGGGGGGGGGGGGGGGGGGGGGTGCGAGATGGTTCGCCTTACATCAAACAGTCACATTAAAACTTACGTTTTTCTTTGGCTCGATAACATGAACAGCATCACGATTGATCGCCACACGGACGGGAACATCGGGATGATTAAGTAATGATGTCAGACCTGATACTTGTTTCTCAATTTGACCGTTGAAAAATACACTCCTATACACAAAAAATAAAGTTCATTTTTCCGCCGGGCAAGAGAATAGCCCGACTTCGTCTCGGGAAACATTGAGACCACTAAAAACCCGGCGTTTCCCTAGGAAGCAAATGTTAAGTGAGTATCTTTACCTACCCATAGTAAGGTAGATCCCAGCATCTTTCGAGGAAGAGTTTGCCGTTGCTACAAGAACTTTCACAGTTCATATTTAAAGTTTCAGAAAGTTCCTTATATTGTGCTATAAGGTTTTGTTCTAAAGTTGCCTTCGTTGATCGACCTAAGATAGTATGCCAGCCAGGCTTGTACAACAAGTATGGCACCAATTCTGAAAGTTTGTTTCTGTAAATGAAAGCAAAATCATTTAGACCTTGCATTTTGTATGAGGCAACACTCTTGACTGATTATAAGTAAATGATTACCAAAACAAAAGTTTTGTGCATCAATTTAAATTTGACCATTACCTAAAATAACCAACTCTGTGTACTTGTGGACTGTATTTTCCATATTCGGTCAACGCCAAGACTGCTCCAAACGCTTCCCCTTGTTTTCTCGTGAGCGGGTAAAATCCATTAAGAACATTACGTTTAGCCTGAAACGTTATTAATTTGATCAGTCTGTCAAATGAGCGTGCTCATGAGATACCAAAATAAGGTATCCTCATAAGCACGCCCATATATGTACCAAAATCCAGTATGCTCATGAGCACAACCAGTATTACCGTATTTTGGTATATAAATGAGCGTGCTCATGAGATACCAAAATAAGGTATGCTCATAAGCACGCCCATATATCATATATGTACCAAAATCCAGTATGCTCATGAGCACAACCAGTATTTATATCGTATTTTGCTATATATTTGAGCGTGCTTATGAGATACCACAATAAGGTATGCTCATAAGCACGCCCATATATGTACCAAAATTCAGTATGCTCATGAGCACAACCAGTATTAAAATATTTTGGCATATAAATGAGCGTGCTCATGAGACATCAAATAAGGTATCCTCATAAGCACGCCCATATATGTAGTATTACGTACCCAAATCCAGTATGCTCATGAGCACAACCTGTATTACCGCATTTTGGTATATAATTATCTGTGGATGGAGCAACGGAGATGTAAGAAAATCTAAAACCTTAAAACATAGAACAAACCTGACCTCTTCAAAGAGACGTTTGATTATTTTTTCGTCTGTAATCTAAATAAACAAAAGTATACAGTAAACAATTGTCTCCAAACGTCTACCCTACTTCTACAAGTGGGGAATACGCTGTTCGACAATCGAACATGCATGGAACTTTGGTTCATGACAGAAAAAAGTTTGTGAATTTTTAATTATACCTTTCTCTCATCCTGTAACGGGAAAAAACTGTTACGTTGAAAACTTAAAATTGGGTCATCTACAACATAAAAAAAATACAATTTTACTTAAAATAGTACCAGAGAAGAAATGTTCAAAAGCCACAACGGACCACTGCACGGAACAAACATAGTGAGATTCATGCTATAGAATTTGTGATTACATCATCAAATCCATAGTATATCCATACTTTTTCCATACTATATCCAGAGTATGGAAATTGCAATTAGTATGAACATTGGATTTCCGTGCTATTTTCAAGTAAGATCCATACTATTTCGGCATTCCTCGTGTTTGGATAATGTACGATGAAATTTGACAATTGTTAAGTGTGTTGACCCAGATTATTGAGTTCCTTCAGCAGTAAGATAAATATTACGAATACTTAATTCAACATTCTGGGCGTAATAGGGAATTAAATATGTAGTATATATTGGCTTGCTATAATGTATAATCCCAAATATCCAATCTTTCTTGGTCAATAATTTACACTGGAAAAAACTGATAGTGAAATTCATATTATGAAATTTGCGATTGCATCACAAGATTCATAGTATATCCATACTTTTTCCATACTATATCCACAGTATGGAAATTGCAATAAGTATGAAAATTTGATTTCCCTACTATTTTCAACTGAGTTCCATACTATTTCCATAGTAAGGATTTTGAAAACAATTCCAGTGAAAACATGCACGTGATATGCCTCACCTTTTTCTATCATTTCTGTCGAAGCAGCCGTGAACCTCCTTAAAAGATCTGGCCATTTCATGCGCATTCGTAGTGGTTGGTGATGATCCTTTAATTGCAATTCTAAAAGATGTGCATGGTTGTTGTGTTTACAAGTTATTTGGAATAAAATGCAACACTAGGAATATGGATATTACTCATATAGACTGATTTTCTGTGGTGTGCGTGTGTGCAGTGTGATGCACCCCCTCAGAATGTTTTCCAACCCCATTACAAAAATTTTCATCGCCCCCCCCAGATTTTTGAATGCTCAATGGCTTAAACTGACAGTAGTATAATTGGAATAAGGATTTTAAACTAAACAAGACCAAAAATCTGAAAATGTTTCCTGGCCTTACCCTAATCCTATCCCCACTGGGAATGTGCCCCCAGACTCCTACTGCAGCCTGTTTGGCGGCGCGCTCACCCCCTCCCCCGAATTCTTAGCACCCCAAGAGCAAATCTGAAAATCTGTCTATGTTTTTACTCAGTTTATCAAACTATTCGAAACATCGAGTTGGGTTTACCATATTTAACAATATTGTAAAGCCTGACTTACGTAATAAAGGCGAGACCAGCCAAATACAAAACACGTCTTTGGCCTGTGAGGACATGGCGAGATTTTCGACCATCATTTTACAGATCAAACCAGCAGTTGTGTCTTTGCCATACTCCAGGTTCAACAAACGACCAACTTTTTCCACCAAAAATACAGCAACACTGATGGCTGTGATTAGAGGAAACACATTTGAATGAGCTGTTAAGGAGCATAACTTGACCCATTAAGTGGCTCTTAAAAATAATTACTGAAAATCCCTTTTTAGCCTCCCACTCTCAATAAGTCTCTTTCTTTCTGTAACAAAAGGCCCGATAAAAGAAGCCATAAGACCTCATACCCCTCCCTAATAAACGTCCTACGCTGCATAATGAAGAAATCTAAAGCCAAATATACTGTTGGGTTTGTTTGAACATTGTGCCTGATGTTGGGTTACGTTTGACTTTGTTCAAAATTTTCATTTAAAATTTTTGGATCAATAATTAATGCCTATGAGCAGAGGCCGCGGAAGCATTTCGAAAGTGGAGGGGCATTGACCGAAAGGGGCACTTTTGTATATGACCAGAATCAAACGATTTTATGACGTTCACGAGCCGAACGAAAATTTTTGAAAATATGGAGTCTCTCTAACGTCGGAAATGGCCTTTACAGAGTCTTTACTACTGCGAAAAGGGCATTTTCTTTCCAAAAAAAGAGGGCGTTTATTCAAGAAATACTTTTTTTCGTTTTTTAAATGGGGCATTTTAGCCCAGAAAAAAGGGCACTTTTTTCACTTTTAAGAAAAGTGGGGGGGCACATGCCCCCATTGCCCCCCCGGTTCCGCGGCCCCTGGATGTACGAAATACTTTTATTCATTCGAGCATGTTGTCTTAATCGGTAATTAAATGGCTATTTACGTACAGTACACTACACAACTTTTGCCTCCAAACTGTCGCATGCAACCTGCTTACAACTTGAGTTGTACTGTGTAAATCAAGCACACAATTCTCCTACGACAACGTATAGTTTGCGTGCTTGATTTACAAAGTACAACTCGTGTTGTAAGCTGGTTGCATGCGACAGTTTTAGGCCAAAAAGTTGTGTAGTGCAAATCAGCCCTAAGCGTTTCCTCGTATTTATCTTAGTATAACATATCCCTGCCTGCATCCTTTCGCTTTTCAAAACACCTGGATTATTGTATATAAGAACTACCTCTCAATAACTAAGATGAGTTTGGCATAACATTGAATGCATGGGGATCAAGGGAGAGTTTTACATGATGACAGTGTAACTATACTATATAACTAGCGCTTTGCGGTTCTACCATGCAACATTGGCCAAGATGATAGAAGAATGCACCTTACAATAGAATTGCTCTCAT